TAGGTATTCGCCCTCAGAAACTGAGGGAATCCTGAAGATCGCCATCGTGACGAGGCGATGCCCAACATAGAGATAGGGATATGCTCCAGGCTCTTCGTCGAGAATCCCCCTGTAGGGGGACACACCCGACTTAACTCCAGCCCCGCACTCCCAGCGGTGCCCTCGCCTTCACGGCCGGATTCGCCGCTCCTCTGGGCCTCTTGGATGGGGTCCGAGCAGGCGGGGTCGGGGGATCGCGCCGCATCGCCGATGCGTCGGCGATGCGGCTCGGTGCGGAGCCGATGCCTCGCCGACGCATCGGCGATGTCTCGCCGATGCGTCGGCGCTCGCCGTCGTCGGCGGCGTCCTCCTCCTGCTCCTCCTCCTCCTTTTCCTCCTCCTCCTCCTCCTACTCCTCCTTCTCCTCTTCCTTCTCCTCCTCCCCTTCCTCCTCCTCCCCCTCCTCCTCATCATCATCCTCCACGCGGATGGCGCCGATGCCTCGCCGACGCATCGGCGAGGTCTCGCCGATGCGTCGGCGATGCGGCGCGATGCCCCGACCCCAGCTGATCGGGCCCCGCCTCGGCTTCAGTCGGGGGTGTCCCTCTACAGGGGCAAAGTTCAAACAAATAGTCAAAACATACATTCTGGGGACGATTCTGTGAGTATTTTCGACCACTTTGGGGCATTTGTTTAGTATGTTTTATTTTTCGTCGAGGAGGAGGAGGAGGAGGCGGAGGAGAAGGCAAAGGAGCAGGAGGAGAAGAAGGAGAAGGAAGAAGAGGACAAACAAGAGGAAGAATTATCGGAGAACCTGAAGGAAACCATACGAAATCACCGCTCGAAAGGCGAGGGCCGCCACAATCCCCCGTTCCCCCCTAGGAAGCCGAGGAGCACTGGATCTGGATAAAAGCCAGGCCCCTACTGGAGGCTCGAGTTTTATCCGTCGGTGCGCCTCGGCCTTGCGGCGCCCCTTCCACGAAAGTCCAAGACGCCCTGGATGTGGATATGCCTCGCGCCGCCCCTGCGCGGAGGGCGGCCTGCGGGCTGGGGCCAGGATGAAGTCGGGCAGGTCCCTCTGCAGGAGGGATAGGCAAAAGAGGAATCAACAAAATGGTCCGGGGACGATTCTTCCACAATCTTTAACCATGCTTGAATATTCTTGACTACCTTAGAAAGTGTTCTGCCCAAATCCGCCTGTAGGGGGACATGCGGCATGTCCCCCATACACCCATTTCAGACTATATTGCCACCTGCCCAGTTCAGCTTATTCTGGCCTTAGGTCGGGCATGTCACATGCCCGACCTAGGCCTAGGAAGGAGGGAGCCTGAGGAAGATTTTCGGACGTTTTTCCCCAGGAAGCCCTCCAACAACCTCTCTAAGCAAGGTTTTTTGGGAAGAAGCCCTCCCAAAACCTTCCCGAGGAAGGTTCCGTAGCCATTTTGGTTCAAGGCCCCCCCGCGGCTGCGCCGGCTCTCCGCGCGCCAGGGCTCCGCGGCCGTGCCCCGCCTCCGCGGCCCTCCTCGATCTTCGCGACCTTCACGCGAAGATCGATCTCGATCTTCGCCTCGATCTTCGCGGCCCTCCTCGATCTTCGCGGCCCTCCTCGATCTCCGCGGCCCTCCTCGATCTCCGCGGCCCTCGCCTTCGCCTCGATCTTCGCGGCCCTCCTCGATCTCCGCGGCGCCCCCCCACTCCACGCGGGCGGCCCAATGAGCGGCAGCCGCGCCCCAGAGGGCGTAGACATCACCAGCGTCGCCACGGGCGTCGACAAGTTCTGGGGGATCACCGCCGTCGGCACGAAGATTGTGGCTGCCCCTCGCAATTCCGACAAGCTCCTGGTCTACGACACGGAGCCGAAGGCCGTGGGGGGCGTAGACATCACCAGCGTCGCCACGGGCGTCGCCAAGTTCAGCGGGATCACCGCCGTCGGCACGAAGATTGTGGCTGCCCCGTGGAATTCCGACAAGCTCCTGGTCTACGACACGGAGTCGAAGGCCGTGGAGGGCGTAGACATCACCAGCGTCGCCACGGGCGTGTTCAAGTTCTGGGGGGTCACCGCCGTCGTCACGAAGATTCTGGCTGCCCCTTGGAATTCCGGCAAGCTCCTGGTCTACGACCTGGGGCCGAAGGCCGTGGAGGGCGTAGAGAAGGCGTGGGGGACGGACCTCTTGCAGCTGCAGTTGACGAGAAGGAATGTCGGGCCCCTGGAGCGAGAGCTCGCGACAGCGGCGAGCGGCGAGAGCAGGGCGTCGGGCAACGGGGTGTCGGCGGCGAGGTCCCTCGGGCCGAGCGCTCAGATCCAGGCGCTCACGCAGGTGGTGGAAGAACTCGGCGCCCCGCCGGGCACGCTCGGCACTGCCTCCGCGTTCCGAGGGTGGCTCGCCAGCAAGGGCGTCGCCAAGGAGACCAAGTTCTCGGCGAGGAAGATCCTGTTCGGGCGCCCAGCGGAGGCGACGCAGGGCATCGGAGGCCTGACCGGCGTGCAGAATAAGGAGGTGTTCAAGCGTGTGACACAGGCAGACGACAGCGGTGACCGAAGAGATTCAGACTCACGGGTCCGAGGAGGACAGAGCGAACTGGAAGTACATCGTCGATGGCCGATGGCAACTGGGCGTTGCTGAAGGGCGTCAGGGCGCAGCTGGACGAGGAGCGGTTCAACTCCGAGATCACCCTGTGGCGCGGCGTGGCTGGCGTGGAGTTCGAGCGGGAGTTCCTTGACGATCTGGAGGATAAGTCAGGCGCAGAATTGGCGCCAGTGTCGACGACCGCGAACAAGGACGCAGCAGAGAAATACGGCGGAGGCGCAGGGCCGTCGATCATCTTCAAGTTCAAGGCGAGGGCGATGTAGCAGGGTCTTCTGCATTTGGTTCCTATCCGTGTACCACAAGGAGGAGGAGTGCCTATACCCACCGGGAACATTACCGACGTTTGCTGGCGGGAAAGATTGGGAAAGATTGTGTCGAGAAGGTCGGCGACAGGCTGTGCGTCACCGTCGTCCCGCAGTGAAGGGGCCCCACTGTTCCTGCGCCCCCCTACCCTCGGGCCCTTGCGCACGGCGGCCGAAGCAGGTCGCTTGCAGAGTGCTTTTCGGCCCAGGTAGTTGGTGGAGAGGGGGGGTGGGTGGGTGAGAGGAGAGGAGGAGGAGCAGGAGGAGGAGAAGCCGAGCCCGCGAGGATGAGTTCTACCGTTGGCGGGTTTTCGAACGAGGTGGCCCGGCCTCATTGCGAGAGATTTGTGTGACGAGGCCAGAAAAAAAGAAAAAACCTTCCCGAGTAAGGTTTTTTTGGTGGCTTTTTCCTCCTGAAACCTTCCAGAGGAAGGTTCTTGCAAGTTCGAGGAATGTTTTTTTTTTGAGGGGCGCTGGGGTCGTGCGAGGCCAGGACAGGGACAACTCGTTCCAGAGTGCTCCAGAACGCCTTCAGAAGCGTTGTGGAACGCTCTGGGGATGGAAGAGTCGGAGGTTGATAGACCTCCTACCCTGACACGTCGATTAGTGAATTGGCCGTTTTCGGTTCGCGAGAGGGCGTCGCGACCGTTTTTTGTTGCGGGTCCAGGTCCGTCGGTTTCGGTCCTAGGCCGTTTTCACTACAGGGAGGTTTACTAAAGGGAAGTTTTTGTCCACCGCCGAAAGAAGGACAAACTGCGCAGACTTCCTGAGCTCCGCGCGGAGTTCTTGGATCGGCGCCTGTGGCCCCCCTGGCGGCGCCTCCAGCGCTGCCCCGCGCGCGCCGGGGAGGAGGATCCGGTGCCAAGCCAAGAGACCCGCGCGTAACTCCGAAGGCTCCTGCTTACGTTTATGATGTTCCAACCTACTTTAGCGTTGATCACCAGAATGCATTTCGACCGCCAAGAAACACCCCATGAAGGGAGGGTTTTCACGTGTCGGGCCCTGGGAGACACTCTTCCGACACTCTTTCGACACTTTTCTGTGTGCTCGAAATTATTTATGGGATGTGGTCCTCAAGTAGGATGGGAGCAACGTAAGCTTACGTATGCCGCGCTGCTGTTCTCCAGGGGAAGGCCGCGGCGTCCGAGAGTTCCTCCCAAGCTGCCGAGTCTCAGAGGTCCCAGCTTGATCCCCGTCCGATGGTGTCCCCGCCCTGGCTTCGGCTCGTGGGGAGGAAGGCTGGCGCCAGGCCCCCCCGCAGGTCAGAGGGCGCATCATCCACTCGAAGGAAGAAGCACTAGAGGAAGAAAGCGTCGTCTGCAATAGTTCATCGATGCTGCCCTCCTGCGCAGCGTTGTCGTCCAGGCCCGCAGCGAGGATATCTAAGCACGCTTGGACCTTGAGGGGGCGTTGTGTCTCTTCCCGAGGGCAGAAGCGCGATGACCATACCACAGTGCCGCGAGAACTTGTCAACGTCTCCTCCTCCTCCGCCTCCTCCTCCTCCTCTTCCTCCTCCCCCTCCTCCTCCTCGTCCTTCTCTTTCTCGTTCTCCTCCTCCTCCTCCTCCTCGTCCTCCTCCTCCTCTTCTCCTCCTCCTCCTCCTCCTCCTCCTCTCCCTCCTTGTCAATGCCGGCCGTCGCCGACCCGCGAGGATGATCCACGAATTGGCGTTGCCCAAGATAATCGATGACCAAGCTCGTGCCGACGTTCATGCGTTCCGTCTTGGCCAGGGTTATCGTAGTCCCTCCGCTCGCGCAGGGAAGCTGGGGAAAGCGGCAGGCGCCATCCACCTCTAGCCCCTCCCACCTCTCGGCAGGTTTTCGTCCAGCTCTTCCCGGCCCTTGCCGTTCGCGCCACAGTTGCTTCGGGTTCGCACCGGCTCCTGCCGTTTTTTGTCCACTCCTGGTCACTTCCGTCTCCTGGAAATTTCAGCATCCACCTGTTGCAGCCTCCGAAAGCACTGCCGCCAGCCTCGGTGAGGCCCAGATAGGCAAGGCCTACGCGCCGATTCGTGGCCTGACCAGCCTTGCGGATGGTTCACAGTATCTTAGTTAAGAGCCAATCGTTGGCATTTGGGTAGGTACCAGAACAAATCGGAATGCTTGGCCAGCAGCGCGGTATTACGTCCCCTTTTCTTGTCCGCGATTGCCAGTCGTGGGGCATTTTTCGTCACCGTGTCATCCTCGTTCATCGGTCGCCTTCCCAGCTCCCCATGTGACGCTGTCGAGGATCCCCGGGAATTGTTGGAAACCCCTGGCCGTCTCCTAAGGTCCCACGAAGCCCAGAGTGAGGAGACGATGTAGGTGAGGGGTGGCAGCAGCAGGGCGGACTTCACGATGCTGATGATGATGATGGTGGTGATGGTGATGATGATGATGATGATGATGATGATGATGATGATGATGATGATGGTGACGATGATGATGATTATGATGCTGATGTGGATGCTGATGATGATGCTGATTCTTATCATTATTATGTAATCTTGGCGATGATGATGATGCGGAAGGGGGAGGGGGAACATGGGTAAGAACATTGGTATGATCATGATGAATGCTATGTTGGAGACGATGGCTTTGTTGACGATGTTGACGATGATGATGTCGATGCCAAAGATGATGGTGATATTTTTGATGCGGATGAAGGTGATGTTGATGATGCAGGGGATGGTGATGATGCTGAGGCTGGTGATGTTGGTAATGTTGGTGCTATGCATGATGGTTGTGACGTTGATGATTGTCATGATGATGGTAGTGGTGCTGATGATGGTCACGATGATGACGATGTTGGTGAATACTATGATGGTGATGGTGATGGTGACGATGGCGAGTTGGAGGAGTAGATGGAGGAGGGCGCGGAGGAGATGAAGAACGGTATGTTGCTCCTGCGCTGCACGCAACTGGTTGTTTCCCAAGAATTCGGTGTGATGGTATTTGGATAGTCGAGTCTTTTGCTTCCAGGTTCATGACGCTCGACCGTTTGTTCCTGACGTTCACTTTCTGTCGCTTCCCCGAGACGTGGTTCGGAAGTACATGTTCTATTGCTTCCTGAAGTATGTATAGTTTCTCTCGGCTTGTCCTGTTTGGCTTTGCCTATGGCCAATTCACCACCGGAGGCATTCTGATCTTCGTGACGTTTCAGTGCAGTGGTGTGGTTGTCTGTAGATGGTCGAATTTTCTCCAAACAGTGCTTGCATGTTGGGGCTCCTATTTCTGGAATATGGAGCTGGGTGTGGGGGTAGGTCTGGCGGCTATGCAGTCGGTGTCGCCGCCCAGTCGCCGCCCTGTCGCCGACGGTCGTTTGGGCTTGGGGGTCGGTCGGGCAGCTATGTCGTCGCCGAGGCCACCCCTTCGCCGCCCCGTCGCCGCCTCGTCGCCGCTCGTCGTCTGGGCCTGTGTTGCTTTACATTGCGTTGCATTCGTATGCCGTGCCAACCCGTGCTTTGCGTTCCAGTGCTTCGCATTGCTTCGCATTGTTTTGTATGGCTTCGGATTGCTTTGCATTGCCCTGCCCTGCTTTCTCTCATTACTTCGCATTGCCGCGCGTTGCTTTGCATTGTTTGCGCTGCATTGCATTCATTTGCATTGCGTTGCCTTGCTCTGCATTGCATTTCTTGGCATGACTTCGCATAGCTCTGCAGTTCTTTGGACCGCTTTGCGTTGCGTTGTGCTACCCTGCGTTGTGTTGCATTGCAACGTATCGTTTTGCACTGCTTGCTTTGCATTGCTTATCACTGCCTTACAGTGATTTGCCTTGCTTTGCAGTGCTCCGCCTGGCGTTACATTGCATCTCGTTGCGCTGCCTCGCGTTGCTTGGCACTGCTTGGCACTGCTTGGCAGGGTTCCCCACGCAGTGCTTGCACTGAGGGTTTCTTGTTCCTTGTTCAAAGAACTGGGCCAGTTTGTCGTCCCAGCCGGCTTGTGATCGCCCCGTCGCCGCCCCGTCGCCCTTCGTCGCTGGTTGTTGCTGTTTCGTCGCAGTTTCGTGTGTCGCCCTAGCTGGGGGTTATTGGGGAACCACCACCAGTTTTCCACCTCCCGGTACTTCTCCTCCGGGTTCCCATCCAAGGCGTTCCTTTGCATGCACTTCGCTTTCGGCACCGCCTGATCCCGGGGCTTTGCCCTCTCTGGGCCTTGACGTGAGGCCTCGCCTTCTTTTTCCCTTCCTCGGTTAATTAAAGCTGTGCGCGGCCCGTTTAGCTTCGACCGGAAGAGGTGCACTCTCGACCCGCGGATCAAAAAAGTGTCGCCCTGGCCTGTTTGTGGTCGCCCCGTCGCCGCGCGTCGCCACCTCGTCGCGGCCCGTCGCCGCCGCGTCGTCGCCGCAGCGCATTGCAATTTCATTGCGCTGCATGTCAATCGCATTGCAGTGCACTGCAGTCGCATCACATAGATCACACCACATGGATTGCCCAACATAGATTGCACCACGCAGCTCGCACACCATAGGTCACACCGTATATATTCTCCTTTCTAAAAAGAGATTCAATCACTTGCACACTTGAAGCTGTCCTCTCCACCGCTCGCGCAAACATCCCACCCTCCCACCCGCAACTTGGGTTTGCAAAACCTCTTAAAACCGACTACGTCGACACCGACGACAACGACTAGGACGACACCGACGACGTCTCCGACGACTTCGACGACGACAACGACGCCGACGACGACGAAGACGACGACGACGATGCCAACGAAGGCGACGACGAAGGAGGAGGAAGGACGACGACGGCGACAACGACGACAACGACGACAACGACGAGGGAGGAGGGAGGACGGCGACGACGCGAACGATGACGAAGGAGGGAGCACGGCGACGCCGACGACGACAACGACGAGGGAGGAGGGACGACGACGACGACGACAACGACGACGACGACGGTGACGAAATACAACCGACGACGAGACGCCGACGACGGACGACGACGACGACGACGTGGGAGGAGGAGGACGGACGACCACGGCGACAACGACGACGGAAACGACCACGACGCCAAAGAGGACGACGACGACGAACACGAGAAAAGACAGAGGACGACGTAGGCGACGACGACGACGACGACGCGGGAGGAGGGAGGACGGCGACGACGACGACGACGACGACGAAAGAGCGCGCGCGCGCACGCTTTTGTTGAAAATCCGTGTTGCGAAACCTTGGGTTTTTGTAGGTTTTTTGGACGCACGATTTTGAAATCCTTCCGAAACCGATTGGTTTTGAAGGTTTTCGGCGTACGCCCGCGACGACGCGCGCGTCTGCACTTCGTCCCTTTTTTTGCAGAGGATTCTCGCGACGGCACACGCGCAAGGGCGTTCGACAGATTTCGACATGCGCGCGCGCGAAGCCCGTTTGGAAACATTTTGTGAAAATCTTGAAAAACCGATGGTTGTCTAAAGATTTCGCAAGAGCTCGCGCGGAAGCTTTTTTAGCAAATCAGTGTTGCGAAACCCTGTGTGTTTGTATGTTTTTTGGGAAACTCGATTGCGAAATCCTTCTGGCACCGAAGGTTTTTGAAGGATTTCGGCATGCGCGCGCGACGACGCGCGCGTGCGCACTTCGTCCCATTTGTTGCAAGGGATTCGTGAAAAAGTGCTACGTTCTCCAAACCGGTTCCCCTCCCCTGAGGTTCCCTAGTATATATGGAAAAAAAACACTGTGCGGTGACACTTTTTGTTTTAAAATAGCACTTTTTCGCGAATCCATTGCAACAAATGGGACGAAGTGCACGCGCGCGCGTCGTCGCGCGCGCATGCCGGGATCCTTCAAAAACCTTTGGTGTCGGAAGGATTTCGCAATCGAGTTTCCAAAAAACATACAAACACACAGGGTTTCGCAACACTGATTTGCTAAAAAAGCTTCCGCGCGAGCTCTTGCGAAATCTTTGGACAACCATCGGTTTTTCAAGATTTTCAGAAAATGCTACCAAACGGGCTTCGCGCGCGCGCGTGTCGAAATCTGTCGAATGCCCTTGCGCGTGTTCCGTCGCGAGAATCCCCTGCAAAAAACGGCACGAAGTGCAGACGCGCGCGTCGTCGCGGGCGTACGCCGAAAACCTTCAAAACCCATCGGTTCCGGAAGGATGTCAAAATCGTGCGTCCAAAAAAACATACAAAAACCCAAGGTTTCGCAACACGGATTTTCAACAAAAGCGTGCGCGCGCGCTCTTTCGTCGTCGTCGTCGTCGTCGCCGTCCTCCCTCCTCCCGCGTCGTCGTCGTCGTCGCCGCCTACGTCGTCCTCTGTCTTTTCTCGTGTTCGTCGTCGTCGTCCTCTTTGGCGTCGTGGTCGTTTCCGTCGTCGTTGTCGCCGTGGTCGTCCGTCCTCCTCCTCCCGCGTCGTCGGTCGTCGTCGTCCGTCGTCGGCGTCTCGTCGTCGTCCCTCCTATTTCGTCGCCGTCGTCGTCGTCGTTGTCGTCGTCGTCGTCCCTCCCCCTTCGTCGTTGTCGTCGTCGGCGTCGCCGTTCTTCCTCCTTCGTTGCGTTCGCGTCGTCGCCGTCCTCCCTCCTCCCTCGTCGTTGTCGTCGTTGTCGTCGTTGTCGCCGTCGTCGTCCTTCCTCCTCCCTCGTCGTCGCCTTCGTTGGCGTCGTCGTCGTCGTCTTCGTCGTCGTCGGCGTCGGCGTCGTTGTCGTCGTCGAAGTCGTCGGAGACGTCGCCGGTGTCGTCCTAGTCGTTGTCGTCGGTGTCGTCGTAGTCGGTCTTAACAGGTTTTGCAAACCAAGTTGCGGGTGGGTGGGTGGGATGTTTGCGCGAGCATTGGAGATGACGACTTCAAGTTCAGCAGAGTGGATTGCACCTCATAGTTTACACCAACTAGCTCATACCATCTAGATGAGTTGGTTGGCTGCACGTCGCTCATACCACATAGCTTATACCGAACAGCTCACACCCCAGATATTGCAATGCATACATTGCACCACTTGGATTGCACTACGCAGCTTGCACCACACAGAACCACATGGCTTGCACCGAGTCGATTGAGCTATATAGCTCACACCCCATGGATCGCACTACATGTATTGCACCAGATGGACATCACCACATTGTTAACACCATATAGATTGGCACCACATAGTTTGCACCACATAGCTTGCATCACCAAGCTTGTTCCACGAAAACTGCATTACCTAGTATGCTAGAAGCCACTGGTTGGGGTCTACGCTGGCTAAAATCTTACGTCTCCAGGTTCGAAACCTTCGATCGGTCGCTCCTGAAGTACAATTTCTCTCGCTTCCCCACGGAACAGCTTTGAACTTGCCAGCGACACTCTGATCATCGACAGCGCCTTTATCTTCTTGATGTTATGATTATGTTGAGGTCTTATTGAAAGTCAAATATTGATTACATCCAGGTTCATAACCCCAGATCGGTTGTTCCTGAAATACCCCCCCCCCCGCTTCCCCGTAGTGTGTCTTTTGTCGGTAAAGCAATGTTTGTTCTCCTATCCGGGTTTTTTGGTTGCAATAACAACCCAAAGTCACGTTGAGTTCAGGTTGGGTAGCTTGTTCATCACAAAGACAAGCTGACCGACGTAGCGAACTGATGGCGGCAGCCTGCCGCATGGGCTTGTACGCTATGAACATGTTGTGGGAGCGAAGGCCGTGATTATCGAACAGCTGATTGTTTTGCTTACTTAGCAGTTCGCTTGTATCACCCCCTTCTCGCTTACCTCTTCTATGTCTCCCTGGTTCTAACCCAGCTTGCCAGATGTTGGATTACTCATCAGCGGTTCTTTGTGAACGTTGTCGTGCCAGATGTTGGATTAGTCATCAGCGGTTGTCTACTATTTGATTTGTCCAGGTTCACAACCCGTGATCGGTTGTTCCTGATGTACACCTACAGGGGGGTCCAACCCGCAAGAAAACACCCACGTTGTCTCATATAGATACCAAAAAACTCAACCAGAATACATCAAGTATAGGGTCCAGTGTCTTCTGGACGGTGTGACAGTCGATGTACCTCTGGACGTGTGTGGCCAGTGACGTGTTGTGCTCCTGGTGGGTGTTGTTGTCAGATGCTGGTTGAGTCACCAGCGGACGTCTACAATTTCCCCTGTGCCCAGGTGCTAATAAACCCAAGATCGGTTGTACCTCTTGACGTTCGTGGCCAGTGACTTATTATTGTGAGATGCTGGTTGAGTCATCAGTGGACGTCTATCATTTCCCCTGTGTCCAGATGCTAATAAACCCAAGATCGGTTGTTCCTGATTGTTCCTGGGCTGGGAGTGTCTGGTTATTTTGATGTATATCCAGGTTCGAACCCAAGATCGGTTGTTCCTGATGTGCATCTGCGCGCGCGCGCTCCACCACGCGAGGGCTCGTGCGGCAGCTGCTGGGCCTACGCCTCGACCGCGGCGCTCAACGCGCACGCCGAGATAAACAACAACACCAACAGGTCTTCCGCCGCCCTAGAAGAAGAAGGAGGAGGAAGAGGAGGCGGAGGAGGAGGATGAGGAGGAAGAGGAGGAGGCGGAGGAGGAGGAGCAGGAGGAGGCGGAGGAGGAGGAGGAGCAGGAGGAGGAGGAGGACGAGCAGGAGGAGGCGGAGGAGGAGGAGCAGGAGGAGGAGGAGCAGGAGGAGGAGGAGGAGGAGCAGGAGGAGTTGAAGCGGGGAGAAGGAGGAGGAGGAGGAGGAGGAGGAGGAGGAGCGGGAGCGAGGAGGAAACACGAGAAGGAGGCAGCGGAGGAGTTGGAGGAGGAGGAGCGGGGAGGAGGAGGAGCGATGAGGAAGAGGAGGAGGAGGAGCGATGATGGTGATACTGATGAGGATGAGGATGAGGATGAGGATTAGGATGATGGTTATGGTGATGAGGATGAGGATGAGGATGAGGATGATGCTGATGATGATGATGATGATGATGATGATGATGATGATGATGATGATGATGATGATGATGATGATGATGATGATGGTGATGGTGATGGTGATCGGTGATGGTGTATGTGATGAGATGATGATGATGATGATGGTGGTGGAGGTGGTGGTGGTGGTGGTGGTGGAGGTGGTGGTGGTGGTGGTGGTGGTGATGGTGATGGTGGTGGTGGTGGTGGTGGTGGTGGTGATGGTGATGGTGATGGTGATGGTGATGGTGATGATGGTGATGATGATGGTGATGGTGATGGTGATGGTGATGGTGATGGTGATGATGATGATGATGATGATGATGATGATGATGATGATGATGATTATGATGATGGTCATGGTCATGGTAATGGTGATGGTGATGGTGATGGTGATGGTGATGGTGATGGTGACGGTGATGATGGTGATGAGGAGGAGGAGGAGGAGGAGGAGGAGGAGGAGGAGGAGGAGGAACAGGAGGGGGGGCGAGCAGGAGAAGCGGTGAGAAGCGAGGAGAAGGGGGAACGAGGAGGAAGAGGAGGTGAAGGAGCCGGAGCGAGGAGGAGCGAGAGATCGACAGGTATTCCGTCGCTCAGATCGTCGCCTGCACCCCGAACCCGGAGAAGTGCGGCGGCAGCGGGGGCTGCAAGGCCGGGCATTGCCTGTGGTGTGCCCAGCCTTTTCGGCCTCCGGGCAGCTCCGGCTCCAGATCCCCTGCGCCCCGCCTCTCTGTCAAAGGCCCAAATCGGCGGGGCGGTTGGTCAGGCCAAGCGGCACCAGCTGCGTCACAGCCGCTCGTCGGGTCTGCGGGGGATGCGGGGTGGAAACTGTCGGGCGAGAAGAAATATTGCCCATGAGCCGATCCTGGCTTGGCCTATCCCAGGCCCAGGATTGATGCACGTGCCAGGGCAGGAGGGTGTATGCACCGATCCCAGTAGCAGGAGGAGCCTGGCAGCAGTCGAGCACTGCAAAGTCTGAGGGCGAAAATGATCGGCGCTGGGGCGATAGCCAGCTTTTGAAGAGAACCCGCCGCCCATCCTTGGAGCCGCTGCACACTTTTGAGACCACTGCTCCCGGTGCTGAAGCGGGAGCCGCGTTCTGTTGTATCGGCCCGCCCCCCCATCCATGAAGGCGCTGCAGACTTAAGTCGGGCCTGTCCCTCTACAGGGGGGAATATTCAAGATAGTCAAAAAATAGTCAGGGGACTATTTTTGGAGTACTTGTTGACCAGTATGGAGTATTTTTTGAGTACTTTTGCTTCATCGTCGAGAATCCCCCTGTAGGGGGACACGCCCGACTTAACTGCAGACTGGCAGGACTAGCGTGCGCGGCGCTGAGGCGAAGTCACACTTTGAAAGCCACTCGGCCTCCATCCGTGAAGCTATGGCAAGTGCCAAGCTCGGGGGCGGCAAAGAGGGGGGTGATGACTAGGGGTGGGTGGATATCATGGCGTGGGCCATGATATTTCCCCAGATTTCGTGGCGCCTCTTCTTGTTTCAATACGTCCCTGGTCCCCTCTCTGGGCCGCGCACATGCCGCCGGTCTGATTTGCCCCCCCCCCCCCCCCTCTTGGACACCCCCCTCTTGGCCGCTCCCGACAAGCTTCAGGAGCATATGAGCGGTGAGGAGACCTCACGCGGAACGCCCGGCTCGCCCAGCCTCCAGGGTGGTTGGCCGAGGAAGGAGCAAGAGGATGTTGGCGGAAGGGGATAGGGGAACGAAGAATGACCAAAACATAAAAGCTCGGAGGGCCGCGCGGATTCCTCGGATCGGCGCTGGACCCCTCCCCCTGGCGCGCGAAGCGCGCCAGGGGCGGCGCCGGAGGCGCCACCAGGGGGGTCTGGCGCGGGTCCGAGAAATCCGCGCGGACTTCCGAGCCTTAGGTTTATGCCATTTTTCGTCCCCCTAGGGTTTGTCCCTCTACAGGGGGAATATTCAAAAATATTCCAAAAATAGTCTGGGGATTATTTTTCACCATTTTTTTACAATCTTGGAGTATTTGGGGGGTATTTTTTTCGCCCAAAATTCCCCCTGTAGGGGGGCACGCCCGACTCAACCATGGGGGAGGAGGGGGACGAGGAGGGAGCAGGGAGAAGCAGGAGGAGGTTGGTGGATGGGGACGGGGCGCCCGACGAAGGGGGCCACGGCCGAGCTCGCCTACGAGTACGCGCTGACGAGCGGCCTCGCGTTGGAGGCCCACGTGCCTCCATCATCCCTTCTGCAATATCCCTTTCTTTTCTCCTACTCCTCCTCCTCCTCCTCCTTCTCCTCCTCCTCCTCCTCCTCCTCCTCCTCCTCCTATCATCCTCCTCCTCTCCTCCTCCCCCGCCTCCTCCTCCTCCCCATCCTCTCCCATCCTCCTCATCCTCCTCCTCCTCTCCTCCTCCTCCTCCTCCTCCTCCCCCCCTCCTCCTCCTCCTCCTCCTTCTCCTCCTGGCGCTGCGCACTTTGGTGCTGTATACAAGAAGTGGCGAAGCGTCCTGACCTCATCTGCTCACCAAATATATTGTGTCAAAAGACTTGTGTGTGGCCTGCACGAAGTGGTCTCGTAGCATTCCTGGCCGGGGCAGTCTTGTTCCCAACCATCCTGTGGTGTTGGGTCCTCGTTTCGAAGAGAGCGCACCGCGTCCTCTTCTCTCCTCTGATCCTCCCTCCCTCCTCCCATCCTTGCCTCCGCCGCCCCGCTTCCTGGCTCCATAGGGAGCTCCACCGAATCCCAATCCACGAGTCTCGCCCGAAGAGTTTGGCCCCCCAGAAAAGTGTGAAAACCATGGGATACACCCCAAGGGGACTATTCGGACGCACCCTCATCGAGGATGGACCCCCCCATCGTATATCCCAGGGTTGGGCCCCAAACTTCTGGTCCATTCGGAAAGACCACGAAGCCTGGGATAGGGGTCGACATATCGACCACCATGGCCATGCTCAGAGTTTTTGATGCTGTTGCTAGTCAACATGATATGATAGCAACTTCGATCCCCGCAACTTTCCCGTGGATTGTAACGTTCGGTCTCCGCGCCTATCTCCACAATCAAAGCTTGTTGGACGGGGATAATAAAGATAGAGGGGGGGAAGGGGGGGGGCCCAGGTACTTTATCATCGCCCGTGGTCGGTTCATCAGGTCGTTACTCCTGGTGTGCCAGCACCTCGACTGGCCTCGCTACTCCGGTGTCGTCAGCAGTCGTCCGGCTGCCCTCGAGCTCCGGGCTGTTTGGCACGGGGTCGATCCCGAGGTTTCCCTTCGTCGGGGGACCGATTTCCAGCTCGCAGGCCAATCTGCGGCCATCGGCCCACGTGCCGGCTCGGCACATCGCGCACCCACCCCGCGCACGTTTCGAAAGCATGGAGATCCCGCGAAGACAGCGTTGGCCACGTCCTCACGCGGCCGACCCCCCGATTTCGGCGCACCCTCACACGCGTCGTGGCCCCATAGGGAGCTCCACCGAAGGCCCCGGAGGCGGTGTCCACATGCGGCTGCCCCACAGATTGCGGCACACCCCGTCGCACGTTTCGGGTCCCGAGAGGGAGCTCCACCGAAGGTGCCAGTGGCCATTATCCACATGCGGCCGCCTCACCCATGTCAGCACACTCCTCACACGCTCCGTGGACCCATGGGAGCTCCACCGAACGCCCCGCTGGCGATGTCCACCGGCGCCGCCCCACCCACTTCGGCACACCCCTCACACGCGTCGTGCCCCCAGGCGGAGCTCCACCGAGGGCGGTGCTCACAGTGACGGTAGTTGCAACTGCCTGTGGTTGGGTGCTCTTGCATGGGTAAGCGTTCAATCCACCAGTTCTGTGTTCTAAGAACATCTTGTTTGTTTTTGGAAAAGGATTCCCCAAACAGTCTTTGCATCCAGGCTTCTTCTTATACATATATCGGCGCACCGGGTCCGGGGGCCCGGGGCCGGGACCTCGACCACAAATGTGCACCCCGGGGGGCCCGGAGGCTCGTCGGGGCTTGCCGGAGGCCTCCCCAGTCAGACAAGACGGCCCAAGAAGCGCCCAAGACGGCCCAAGAAACTTCCAAGAGGCCTCCAAGAGGGCTCCGAGATGCTGAAGATGGCCTCCAGACGTCCAAGGACGCCCCCAAGAGGCCCCAAGAAGCCTCCAACATGCGTCCCAAGAGGGCCCCTAGACGCAAAAATTGGCCCATTCCCTTCGTAAAACGTACATTTTCAACAAAGTTGTCTTTTGGGCTTTCCGACGTTACAGGACGGCCCAAGAGGCGCCCAAGACCGCCCCAAGACGGCCCAAGAAGCTTCCAAGAGGGCCCCAGGACAGCCCAAGAGGGCCCCAAGACGGCCCAAGAGGCGCCCAAGATGGCCCAAGAGGGCCCCAAGACGGGCCCAAGAGGGGGCCCAGAGGAGGACCACGAACCGCAAGCTCGAGCCTTCCGCCCCAAGAGGCCGCCAGGAGGCCCCCAGGAGGCCCCTCAAGAGGCCCCGGGAGACCCCAGACGTCCAAGGACGCCCCCAAGAGGCTCCAAGAAGCCTCCAACATGTGTCCCAAGAGGGCCCCTAGACGCAAGAATTGGCCCATTCCCTTCGTAAAACGTACATTTTTAACAAAGTCGCCTTTTGGGCTTTCCGACGTTACAGGACGGCCCAAGAGGCGCCCAAGACCGCCCCAAGACGGCCCAAGAAGCTTCCCAGAGGGCCCCAGGACAGCCCAAGAGGGCCCCAAGACGGCCCAAGAGGCGCCCAAGATGGCCCAAGAGGGCCCCAAGACGGGCCCAAGAGGGGGCCCAGAGGGGGACCACGAACCGCAAGCTCGAGCCTTCCGCCCCAAGAGGCCGCCAGGAGGCCCCCAGGAGGCCCCTCAAGAGGCCCCAGGAGACCCCAGACGTCCAAGGACGCCCCCAAGAGGCCCCAAGAAGCCTCCAACATGCGTCCCAAGAGGGCCCCTAGACGCAAAATTGGCCCATTCCCTTCGTAAAACGTACATGTTCAACAAAGTTGTCTTTTGGGCTTTCCGACGTTACAGGACGGCCCAAGAGGCGCCCAAGACCGCCCCAAGACGGCCCAAGAAGCTTCCAAGAGGGCCCCAGGACAGCCCAAGAGGGCCCCAAGACGGCCCAAGAGGCGCCCAAGATGGCCCAAGAGGGCCCCAAGACGGGCCCAAGAGGGGGCCCAGAGGGGGACCACGAACCGCAAGCTCGAGCCTTCCGCCCCAAGAGGCCGCCAGGAGGCCCCAAGGAGGCCCCTCAAGAGGCCCCAGGAGACCCCAGACGTCCAAGGACGCCCCCAAGACGCTTCGCGTCACCAATTTCTTCTCGCAGCGATTCCTGGGTCTGTGACTCGACAGAACCTAAGCGCGCGCGAAGCGCGCGCGTGGTTCTAGTACTTATCTCTTCAGGAACTGGGCCTGCGGGCCGCCAGGTCGCCGCCCGTCGCCGCCCGTCGCCTGGGCCTGCGGGCCGCTCTGGCCGCCATGTGGCCGCCGTCGCCGCCTCGTCCCCGCCCGCCGCCTCGTCGCCGCCCGCTTTGCACTGCTTGGCACTGCTGGGCGTTGCTTTGTATAGCATAGCTCCACATAGCTCACACCACATATACGTATTGCACTGCACAGATCGCACCACTGTAGCTCGCACCAGATAGCTTGGATTGCATCGATTGCACCATGTAGATTCTCCTTTCTAAAAAGAGAATAGACTCTACCCCCCCCGGCGTTATCCGGCGTCCTTTCGGGTATGTAAATCATTTATGATTATGGTCACATGTCCATCCTAAATATGACTTTACACTATCCCAGAGGGGCCGGGATCGGCCCCCCTCAGGTTCCCTTGAAAAAATCGATACGCGGGGACATCTTATGTTCTAACATCGCACTTTTTCACGAATCCCTTGCAAAAAGTTGGACGAAGTGCACACGCGCGCGTCGTCGCACGCGCATGCCGAAATCCTTCAAAAACCTTCGGTGCTGGAAGGATTTCGCAATCGAGTTCCCAAGAAACATACAACAACACAGGGTTTCGCAACACTGGTTGGCTAAAAAAGCTTACGCGCGAGCTCTTGCGAAAACTTAGGACAATCATAGGTTTTTCAATATTTTCACAAAATGCTACCAAACGGGCTTCGCGCGCACATGTCGAAATCTGCGGAACGCCCTTGCGCGTGTGCCGTCGCGAGAATCCTCTGCAACAGATGGGACGAAGTGCAGACGCGCGCGTCGTCGCGCGCGTATGCCGAAATCCTTTAAAACCCATTGGTTTCGGAATGATTTCAAAATCGTGTGCCCAAAAAACCTACAAAACACAAGGTTTCGCAACACGGATTTTCAACAAAAGCGTGCGCGCGCGCTCTTGCGTCGTCGTCGTCGTCGTCGCCGTCGCCGTCCTCCCTCCTCCCGCGTCTTCGTCGTCGTCGCCTACGTCGTCCTCTGTCTTTCCTCGTGTTCGTCGTCGTCGTCCTCTTTGGCGTCGTGGTCGTTTCCTTCGTCGTTGTCGCCGTGGTCGTCCTTCTTCCTCCTCCCTCGTCGTCGTCGTCGTCGTCCGTCGTCGGCGTCTCGTGGTCGTCCCTCCTATTTCGTCGCCGTCGTCGTCGTCGTCGTCGTTGTCGTCGTCGTCTTCCCTCCTCCCTCGTCGTTGTCGTCGTCGGCGTCGCCGTCCTTCCTCCTTCTTCGTCGTTCGCGTCGTCGCCGTCCTCCCTCCTCCCTCGGTCGTCGTTGTCGTCGTTGTCGCCATCGTCGTCCTCCCTCCTCCCTCGTCGTCGTCATCGTTGGCGACGTCGTCGTCGTCTTCGTCTTCGTCGTCGTCGTCGGCGTCGGCGTCGGCGTCGTCGTCTTCGTCGTCGTCGACGTCGGTGTCGTCGTCGTCGTCGTCGTCGGCGTCGCCGTCCTTCCTCCTTCTTCGTCGTTCGCGTCGTCGCCGTCCTCCCTCCTCCCTCGGTCGTCGTTGTCGTCGTTGTCGCCGTTGTCGTCCTCCCTCCTCCCTCGTCGTCGTCTTCGTTGGCGACGTCGTCGTCGTCTTCGTCGTCGGCGTCGGCGTCGTCGTCGTCTTCGTCGTCGTCGACGTCGGTGTCGTCGTCGTCGTCGTCGCCGCCGCCGTCGTCGTCGTCGTCGTCGTCGTCGTCGTCGTCGTTGACGTCGTCGTCGTCGTCGTCGGTGTCGTCGTCGTCGTCGGCGTCATCGTCGTCGTCGTCGGCGTCAGCGTCGTCGTCGTCGTCGGTGTCGTCGTCGTCGTCGTCGTCGTTGTTGTCGGCGTCGTCGAAGTCGTTGGAGACGTCGTCGGTGTCGTTGTAGTCGTTGTCGGTGGCGTCGTCGTCGTCGTTGTCGCTGTCGGCGTCGGCGTCGCTGTCGTTGCCAAGTGCCATTTGGTACCTACCGTCACGGTCTGAAGAGATTTTGCAAACCAAGTTGCGGGTGGGTGGGTGGGATGTTTGCGCGAGCAGTGGAGGTGGTCAAGCGCGGCGCAGGGTAGTCAATTGCACCACATAACTTACACCACATAGATCGCACCACATGCACTGTACCACATATATTCAACCACATAGGTCCCATAGAACGCACTACAGATGGCACCACTTAGCTTACTCCTTTCTGAATAAGGTAGGTTCTACCACCCTTCCCCCCGGACTTCTCGACCCACCTTTTCGTATTGCATGTTACATTTGATTCTGACCCAATGTCCATCCTACCTGTGAGTTCGTACTAACCCAGCCAGACCGTATCGCCCCCCCCCGCCCCCCCGCCAGCCTCTGCAACAAATACTATGCGCGCACACTCGTTTATCAAAAATTAAAAGTTTCCAAGAATCCCTTGCAACAAATGGGACGAAGTGCACACGCGCGCGTCGTCGCGCGCGCATGCCGAAATCCTTCAAAAATCTTACGTTTCGGAAGGATTTCAAAATCGAGTGTAGGAAAAATATGAAAAAACAGGGTTTCGCAACACGGATTTTCAACAAAAGCGTGCGCGATCTTGCGAATTCTTAAGACAGCCATGCCTTCTCAACATTCTCATAAAATGCTACCAAACGGGCTTCGCGCGCGCACGTCGAAATCGTTCGAACGCCCTTGCGCGCGTGCTGGGTTGGCACGATCCGTTTCAAGTAATACCATGCGAGCCACTTTCGCGCGTCTGCCGCGCGCGCATTTAGAATTCTTCCCAAAACCTTTCATCGTCGACGCGAAGACGCCGTCATCGTCTTCGGCGTGATCAGCATCGGCGCCGTCACTGGCTGCCCCGTCGTCGCTGTCAGCATCGTCGCCAGCATCGCTACTATCATCATCGTGTCTACCGTTGTCGACGTTGCCATGATACCGCGCCCGCTCAAGTTGCCGAGTCGAACTGAAGTTCCCGCTGGGATGTGCCGAGAGGTCAGCGCCACCGCGTTCGCGTCGGTCGCGCCAAACTAGCTGGCCGCTGCGCGCGCGAGCATGCGCGGGCTAGCGCGGCCGCGGATATGCACCAGTCAACACCCAGCACTCATCGCAATCGCTCCCGCATGGGTTTTGCAAACCAAGTTGCGGGTGGGTGGGTGGGATGATTGCGCGAGCAGTAGAGTTGACAATCTCAAATTCGGCAAATGAGTTCCTACCGCATAGATTGCACCACGTATCTTACACCACATCGTGCACACAATATATTTTGCACAACGTAGCGTGCACCACGCAGCTCACACCACATAGCCTGCGCCACGCCGGTTGCACCACACAGCTTCAACCACGTAGCTTGTACCACATAGCTCGCACCACAAATGTATTGCATCACCTGGTGTGGTCCAACACACTGTGTGGGGTCCACCCTGGTTCACATTCATTTCTAAAACAGTGCCGTGGTAGGCCTGTAGGAATGCCGGGACGGTTCGTCCCTGCCCAACTGACACGGAGCCGCCGACGGCCTCGGAGGACCGCCGACGCTATCCGATGACCACTGGCCAACGACAGGCCGACGACGGGCAGGCGGTCGCACGGCCCCGTGGAGGCCCACAGAGGGCAAGGGGCGCCAACCAACAACCATTGCCGTCCTCGAAGATCGAAGCTCGACGACGACGGACGCCGACGTCGACGGCGACGCCGACGACGCCGACGACGACGTCGACGACGACGTCGACGACGACGACGCCGACGACGGCGACCATGACGACGACGACCACGACGCCGACGAAGACGAAAACAACGCCGACGAATACGACGCCGACGACGACGATGGCGCCGACGACGACGAGTTCGGCCGTCGGCGTCGGCGACCGCCCGAGCCCATCCCCGACCCAGTGTCGGTGCCTCCGCCCTCCCTGCTTGGCCAGGGGGGGCACGCACCTCTCGTTCCTGCCGTCGCTCGTGCGACGACGACGACGACGACAACCACGACGACGACAACCACAGCGACGACAACGCCGACGACGACGGCGGCGACAACGCCGACCACGACGCCGACGGCGACGACGCCGACGGCGACGACGACGCCGCCGACGACGACCACGACGACGCCGACGCCGACGACGACTTCGGCCGTCGGCGGCGGCTGCCGTCGCACCCGCCGGAGGCCGACTTCCCCGCGAAGCCGCACGGCGCGCAGGCCGCGTGCCCCGCCGCAGCGGCGGCGCCGGCCGCGCTGCAGAGCCGTGGCGTGGCGTCGAAGGCCCCGCGGCCACTGGAGGGCGGCGGCTTCGAACTCGACCTCGATATCCTCCTGCTTCCTCCTCCTCTTCCCTCCTCCTTTTCCTGCTCCCCCTTTCCCTCCTCCTCCTTGTCAATCTTTCCTCCTCCTCCTCAATCTTCCTTCTCCTTCTCCTCCTCCTCCTCCTCCTCCTCCTCCTCCTCCTCCTCCTCCTCCTCCTCAATCGTCTTTCTCCTCCTCCCCCTCCCCTTCCCCCTCCTCCTCCTCCTCCTCCTCCTCCTCCTCCTCCTCCTCCTCCTCCTGCTCCTCCTCTCATGCAGCCCAGACCCCCTCGCGCAGCGAAGAAATCAGGGAGGTGTCTCGCTATTTTCGGCCCTCGGGGGCCCTTCCCCGGCCTCGGGAGCGTCAACAAACAATTCCAGATGCATCGTGACAGGAGATCTTTCGCTATTTTCGGCCCTCCGGGGCCCTTACCCGGCCTCGGGAGCGTCAAAAAACGACTCCAGATGCATCGTGACGGGAGGTCTTTCGCTATTTTCGGCCCTCGGGGGCCCTGCCGGGCCTCGGGAGCGTCAAACAACGACTCAGGATGCAAAGCCGGCCCCGGGAAAGGGGTCCAGAGCTATAGGGGTCGACGTTGCGAAGAAATCACGACGTCTGGGGTCTGGGCATCTACAGCCGGGGTTGCTTGGAGAGAAAACGCGAGAGGACCTGAGACTTTTGCGGAGGGCCACAGTGCCACAGGAGCGTAGGGCGCGTGGGTCGACACGAGGGCACCCCTGATCTGGCAGGGTCGACCTGCTGATCGGCCTCGCTCTCGGGGGGGAGGGAGGGAGGAGGAGGGAGGGAGGGAGGGAGGGAGGGGAGGGAGGAGGGGAGGGAGGGGAGGGAGGAGGGGAGGGGAGGGAGGGGAGGGTGGAGGGTGGAGGGAGGGAGGAGGGAGGAGGGAGGAGGGAGGGAGGGAGGGAGGGGGAGGAGGGAGGGAGGGAGGGGAGGGAGGGAGGGAGGGAGGGAGGAGGAGGAGGAGGAGGAGGAGGAGGAGAGGAGGAGGAGGGGGAGATGGAGGAGGAGGAGGAGGAGGAGGAGGAGGAGGAGGAGGAGGAGGAGGAGATGGAGGACGAGGAGGGCCCCAGAAGGCCGTGATCATGCCAGACGGGGCCGAGAAGCACGTGCTGCCCGACGAGATGCGCGGCGGCAGGTCCATGGGCATGGTGGGCTGGACCAAGCTGCCCGAGAACAAGGACGAGCCAGTCGCATTCGTCGGGGGTGGATAGAACCCCCAACAGTGACACGTCGATCAGTGAATTGTCCGTTGGCGGTTCTCGAGAGGGCGCCGCGGCCGTCATTTTCCAGGCTTGCGCCCGCCAGGTTTGGGCCTCAGGTCGTCTTCACTGAACCACGTTTGACTAAAGGGGGGGATCTGTCCATCCCCGATGTTCAAGACTAGTCAAAGAATCGTTCGGGGACGATCTTTTGATTATTTTGGAGCATCTGGTGTGTATTTTGTGATTTCTTGCAATGTTTCGCCCAAAATCCCCCCTGTAGGGGGACAGGCCCGACTTACCAGTACCCGCCCTCCACGCCCTGGCGCTGAGGGCGGGCCCGAATCTGCGGGGGCCGCGGTCGGACCTCGGGGCCGCGGATCGCCACGAGGTGCCCCGAGGTCCGGGGCTGCCTGTGCCGGGCCTGTGGTCCACCAGCACCGCCAGAAAGTTGGAGGGGGGGGAGGACGAGGAGGAGGAGGAGGAGGAGGACGAAGAGGAGGAGATAAGAGGAGGAGGAGGTGGAGGAGGAGGACGAAGAGGAGGAGGCCTGAGGAGGACGAAGAGGAGGAGGAGTAGGAGGAGGAGGAGGACGAAGAGGAGGAGGACGAAGAGGAGGAAGAGTAGGAGGAGGAGGACGAGGAGGAGGAGGAGGAGGAGGAGTAGGAGGAGGAGGGAAAACAGGTCCGTCGGCCACTTTTGGGGGGCGGGCGGTTTAGCCCTGTCCAGGGCCCCAGGAGTTTCGCATATGGAGCCGGCTCGAACAGGTACGCAGAAAGATGGGGTCAGGGGGTCGGGTCGTGATTTCCCAGGGCGTTGCACTGTGTTCGCTACGCCGGGTCTCAGGGCCGAGTTCGCATGGCAGGGGGTGGTCAGGGCTAGCTCCTGAGACGGGCTTCCCGCTGTCGCGTCGGCTTTGCCCCGGATGGCACTCAGCTCCAGTTACACTGAGAACCCATGCCAAGAATCACCCTGCTTGCCTCTAGGGTGCCCCGGGTTTCTTGGGTTTCGATGGTTTTTCGGACGCCCTGGGTCTCAGGGTTATGTGGAAGGTTTCTTGTGGACTATCCCAGGTCGCACGTTGCCCCATGTGGATATTGTCTGGTATTTTCCAGAAGCAGGAGTTTCTGCGGACCCAGCGGTTCCTGGATGCTCCTGGATCGCAATTTGGGTCGCTCAATTCCCGAATCAGGTCTACAGTCGGCCCGGATTAGCAGGCCGACCCTGCCAAATCAAGGCTACCCTTGTGTCCTGTGCCTCGCGACCCGTGCCTCCTGCATTCCTGTGGCGACGTGGCCCTCGGAAGGGTCTTGTGTCCTCTCGCGTGTCCTCTACAATCAAGTCCGACCGCACGCCAGGGCTGGACCTGAATGGTGTTTTGGCGATTTCGTGGGCCGTTTTCGCTTTGACCTCGTTTTGCGGCAGAGGTGGATGGAAGACGAAACCAGGGAAAACGATAACAAAACGAAAACGTGCCTGTGCCTCGCGACCCGTGCCTCCTGCATGCCTGTGGCGATGCGGCCCTCGGAAGGGTCTTGTGTCCTCTCGCGTGCCCTCTCCAATCAAGGTCAGTGGGACAAAAACACAAAAAAAAAAACACTGTGGGAAACACACACACACACACACACACACACACACACACACACACACACACACACACACACACACACACACACACACACACACACACACACACACACACACACACACACACACACACACACACACACACACACACTGTGTGTGTGTTTTTGTTTGTGTTTTTGTGTGTTTGTTGTGTGTGTTTTTTTCCCACCGTGTTTTTGCTGTGCTTTTTCCACAGACTGCACGCATTCCAGCTCGGGCGGCAGGCCGGGCCCAGCCGGAGCCAGGTCATGTCCTGGGCGAGCCGGGTGCCCGCGGCTGCGGCAGCGGCGCCTGGCCTCCGGGGGGGGGGGGGGGCCCGCGCCACGGTCGCCGCGGCAGGACGCAGCTCGGACAATCTGTGCGGTTGGACCGCGGGAGTCGTCGTCGTCGCCGTCGTCGACGTCGTCGTCGTCTTTGTCGTCGTCGACGTCGACGTCGACGTCGTCCTCGTCCCCATAGGCGTTAGCGTGTACTGCTCTCTCATCACTCGGGATGCCGTCCAGGGACCGACTGCAAGCATGATCTGCCAATAAGCACCCAGACTTCTGTGACCTCGGATTTCTCGTGATGGGATTCTGGGTGTGTGTGTGTGTGTGTTGTCGGATGGGGGTCCCGCTCGAACGAAAGCCCCCATCGGGGTCCGACAACTCGCACCAACCCCTATAGTGCATTCATCGCCTTGCCCTTCCCCATTCCCCATTTCATGGGCCTGTTTTCCACCACCACCATCACCACAAGTTGGAGGGGGGAAGGAGGTGGAGGATGAGGAGGAGGAGGACGAGGAGGAGGAGGAGGAGGACCCCTCCCCCTCCTACTTATGGTAGTGATGGTGGAAAACAAGCCCTTCTCCGTTCCTCGTCCCCATGGGTGTTAGCGTGCACCGTTCTTTCCTCGTTCGAGCTGCTGCTGCCTCAACTCGCCCTGCCCCGAGATCTCCGGTGCTCGATCGACGAAGGTAAGATTACGTCGGGCCTGTCCCTTTACAGGAGGGATATTCACAGACAGTAGATAACAACAATATAGGGGACGATTTCTTAATTATCAGAGTGAGGGGGCCGAACGGTCATTCATTGTCCCTGGGTGCGTGGCTGAAGTGAGATTCCGCGGTGCGGATTCGTGGTGTTGTTGTTGTTGTTGTTGTTGTTGTTGTTGTTGTTGTTGTTGTTGTTGTTGTTGTTGTTGTTGTTGTTGTTTGTTGTTGTTTGTTGTTGTTTGTTGTTGTTTGTTGTTGTTGTTGTGTTGTTGTTGTTTGTTGTTGTTGTTTGTTGTTGTTGTTGTGTGTTGTTGTTGTTGTTGTTGTTGTTGTTGTTGTGTGTGTGTGTTGTTGTTGGTGTGTTGTTGTTGTTGCTGTTGTTGTGTTGTTGTTTGTTGGTGGTTGTTTGTTTGTTTGTCGTCGTTCCACCCGCAACCCGCCCCGCGACCCACCCGCGACCCACCCCGCGACCCACCCACCCCGCGACCCACCCGCGACCCACCCGCGACCCACCCGCGACCCACCCCGCGACCCACCCCGCGACCCACCCCGCGACCCACCCCGCGACCCACCCCGCGACCCACCCGCGACCCACCCCGCGACCCGCCCGCGGCCCACCCCGCGACCCACCCGCGACCCACCCGCGACCCACCCGCGACCCACCCGCGACCCACCCGCGACCCACCCCGCGACCCACCCGCGACCCACCTTCGACCCAAACCACGTTCAAGGTACAAACCAACATTTTCGGCGCCTGCGGCGGGCTTTTTTTGCATTCCTTCCAGGTGGAGAGCCCGCGACCCACCCCGCGATCAACTCGCGACCAACCCGCGACCCAAACCACGTTCAGGGTACAAACCACATTTTTCGGCGCCTGCGGCGGGCATCTTTTGAATCGTTCTAGGTGGAGAGACCGCGGCCCACCCGCGACCACGTTCAGGGTACAAACCAATTTTTTCGGCGCCTGCGGCGAGCATCTTTTGCATTCGTTCCCGGTGGAGAAGCCGCGGCCCACCCGCGACCCAAACCACGTTCAGTGTACAAACCAATTTTTTCGGCGCCTGCGGCGGGCTGCTTTTGCAGGAGGACGAGGAGGGGGAGGAGGAGGAGGAGGAGGAGGAGGAGGAGGAGGAGCAGCAGGAGGAGGAGGAGGAGGAGCAGCAGCAGCAGGAGGAGGAGGAGGAGGAGGAAGGGGACGACGACGATGACGTCGACGACGACGACGACGACGAAAAGGAGGAGGGTGGAGGATCGGGAGGGGGGGAAGAGGAGGAGGACGACGAGGAGGAACATGACGACAATGGGAGGACGATGATGGAAGGACGAGGGGGGGAGAGGGAGGACGAGGAAGAAGCGGAGGAGGAGGAGGAGGAGGAGGACGATGTGGAGGAGGAGGACGACGATGACGATGAGAACGAGGACGAGGACGAGGAAGAGGAGGAGGAGGAGTAGGAGGCGGAGGAGGAGGAGGAAGAGGAGGAGGAGGAGGAGGAGAAGGAGGAGGAGGAGAGCGCCATCGACAAGGAAGGTGGGGGCCACGAGGTCCGCCGGCTTGACGACGCCCGCGTCGCCCGCGCCCGCCCCCTCACTCTTATCCGCAATTGCGGGGTGCTATATTATTATTGTGTTTGTTTTTGAACCGTTTTTTTACAATGTCTTATTTGTCGCCCAAAATCCGCCTGTAGAGGGACATGCCGGACCTGAATCGGGGAAACGTAAGACTCGAGTAGGCCAGAGTTCGCGTTTGCCGACTTTTTTGTTGACGAGCGCGTCCTGGATCTTGACGGTCCAGTTTTCGTGGGATGTCTGCAGTGGGAGTTCGCGGCGAATTTCAGATTTGGTCTCGTCGTTTTTATCATTGCCCCGTCAGGCCAACCCGAGTCCCCCGTCATGGAGGATGACGATTAATTATTGACCGGGGGTCGTGTTCACGCGGCGGCGCCCGGGATGACGATTAGAAAAAACCGGCCGCGGGCTGGAAAACTATTTGCTTTTTTTGTTTTTTTGTATCGTTCTCCTCTAGTCAGAAAGTTGTGCAGAAACAGTAGCAAACTATTTTTGTGAATCGTTCTCTCTTATTTTTTAATCAATCGTCATCCCGCAGTACCCGAGTCTTACGCCTCCCCGACCTGAAGCAACACGTGTGCAGCACCTGCACAAGCCGTCGGAGGCCCGCGCGGCTTGCTCGGGTCGGCGCTGGGCCCCCGCCGTTCCTGGCGCGCTCCGCGCGCGGGGTTCCCGGCGCCGACCCGCGGGATCCGCGTGGACCCCCGCAAGTTCCTGACCATGAAGAGTTTTGTATTGCAGCCCCCTCGAGGGATCGCCGGTGCGATGGGTTCCCCGCAGACTGGGGGTAAGTCGGGGAACAGACAGTGGCATG